CTCCTCCTCCCCCCCTCCTCCCTCCTCCTCCTCCTCATCCCCTCCTCCTCCCTCCTCCCTTTTTTCTCTACTTCCTCATCCCCTCCTCCTCCTCCTCTCCTTCTCCTTCTCTCCTTCTCCTCCTCCTCATCCGCCTCCCCTCCTGCTTCTCCTCCTCCTCCTGCTCCGCCCCTTCCCCTCCACCTTCTCACCCTCACTCCTCCCCCCCCTCCTTCCCCTCCTCCTCCTCCTCCTCCTCCTCCCCCTCCTCCTCCTCCTCCTCCTCCTCTTCCTCCTCCTCCTCCTCCTCCCCCTCCTCCTCATCCTCCTCCTCCTCCTCCTCCTCCTCCTCCTCCTCCTCCCCCTCCTCCTCCTCTGTCATTCTTGCGCGGCGGGTGCCGAGGATAATCAGCATTTTTCCGTTACTGGTGGGACCCCATTTCGTCAATAAGGGCGTCGAAAGGATAATTCGTTTCCCTTATTGGGTGGGTGGGTTCTGCATACCTGCCTCGGTTATGAGCTCGCCGGCTGGCTGGGCCGAGAGGGGTTCGGGGCGCGGGATGGCAGGCCCTCCGATCCGGGCGTTGCATGTTTTTCACACCGGGCGAGCGTTCGCACAGTTTCGGGCCCCGGACCCTCGCAGGTCGACCTGGCTCGACAGATGACGCAGGTAGATGGAGTCTTGGGCTCGGGTCGTGATTCTTGCGATGTTGGAAGTCTTTACGCTTCGTGTATCCCCACCAGTCCATTCAGAATTGTTGCTGAGGAGACTTGAAGGGTAAGGGGGCGAAGAGACACACATGGTGAAACAAAGCGGGCAACCAGGATGACCAGAGAGATCTCTGGGAGCAAGTGGGTGGCATTTTGGAGGGTCCCTTTGGGCCATCCCTGGGCCCCGCGGAGGGCGATGGGAGGAGGAGGAGGCCTGAGTGTCTCCCGAGTGGGGATCGAGACCTCTGTGAATTGAAAAGCCCCAGACCCCCGACGTGATTTGTTTGCAACGTCGGCCCCCCACGCTGGGGCGCCGCCACGCCATGCTATGTCAGGCTGCGCGTCGTCCGAATCGTGCTCCCGCTGCAGCGCTGGCCACATTTCCGCGCTTCCGCTCGTTCCGAATCGTGCTCCCGCTGCAGCGCTGGCGTCATTATTTTTCCAGCGCCATGCCACGGCATGGTTTTCGGTCCTTCCAAACATGCCCCAAAGTCTAGAAACTGCCCCCCGACAAAAACGATCGGAAGTGATTACACATTCGGTGCCGATTCGTTGATTTTTTGGTCCGCATCAGCCCGCCCCAACTGTGGGGCGTCGCCACGCCATGCTATGTCAGGCTACGCGTCCTCATTTCTCATTTCCGCGCTCCCGCTCGTTCCGAAACGTGCGCCTGTGGTCCCGTTCTGCGCCCCTGGTCGTTCCAAATCGTGCTGCCGCTGCAGCGCAGGCGTGTCCAGTCATTCCAAATAGGCCCAACATCTACAACATGTTCGCGTTGCGCTGCTGTGTGATGCAATGCTGCACTACGCAATGCCTCGACATCAGAGTGTGCGCATCACGAGGAGACCTGCGCCATGGTGAGGGTTGGGAGGGAGCGGTATGACGACGGATGGTCCGCGAGCGCACCTAGCTTGGCCTCCCCCCTCTCCCCCCCCTTCCTCCTCCTCCTCCTCTCCTCATTGGCTGTCGTCGCCGCTGTGCGGCGGGTGCCGCGGAAGACAACAAGCAGTTGCCCCCTATTGGTGGGACCCCCGTCCCTCAATCCAGCCGCCGAACACGTAAGTTGTTACCCCCTATGGTTATAGTAAAATTATCCCAGTGCGACCCTACCTAGGAGTTGGAGCCCCTGGGAAAACAGCATTAGTAGTAACAGAAAAGCTCAGCTAAAGCTAAGGCAACACTAAACTAAAGCTAAGCTAAAGCTAAGCTAAAGCTAAGTTAACGCTAAGCCAAAGCTAAGCTAAAGCTAAGCTAAAGTTAATCTTAAGATAAGTTAAAGCTAAGCTAAAGCTACGTTGAAACTAAGCTAACGCTAAGCTAGAGCTTAGCTAAAGCTAAGCTAGAGCTAAGCTGAAGCTAAGCTAAAGCTAAGCTGAAGCTAAGCTAAAGCTAAGCTGAAGCTAAGCTAGAGCTAAGCTAAAGCTAAGCTGCAGCTAAGCTGACGCTAAGCTAGAGCTAAGCTAAAGCTAAGCTGAAGCTAAGCTGAAGCTAAGCTAAAGCTAAGCTAAAGCTAAGCTAAAGCTAAACTAAAGCTAAGCTCGAGCTAAGCTAAAGCTAAGCTAGAGCTAAGCTGAAGCTAAGCTAACGCTAAGCTATAGCTAAGCTAAAGCTAAGCTAAAGCTAAGCTAGAGCTAAGCAACAGCTAAGCTAGAGCTAAGCTGAAGCTAAGCTCAAGCTAAGCTAGAGCTAAGCTAGAGCTAAGCTGAAGCTAAGGCAAAGCTACGTTAAAGCTAAGCTGAAGCTAAGCTAAAGCTAAGCTGAAGCTAAGCTAAAGCTAAGCTAAAGCTAAGCTAAAACTAAGCTAAAGCTAAGCTAAAGCTAAGCTGAAGCTAAGCTAAGCTGGGTGAACCCAGGGGGCGCGACTGGGGGAACCGCGGGGCGGGGACTGGGGGAACCGCCCGGGGCGGTTTACACTGCCCGGCCCCTTTAAGCTAAGAGAGTAAGAACCCTTCTAGGCAGAGCCTAGGTAGGGAAAAAAATAGTCTAGGGACTATTTGTTTAGTTTTTTTTGGCAATTTGGGAGCATTTCTTGCGTATTTTTTCTTCGTCGAAAATCCCCCTGTAGGGGGACACGCCCGACTTCACCCTGGGATGGGGGGGGGGCTCTTAAAGACCCTTCGCGGCTGCGGGGACCCCCGTCCTTCAATCCGGCCGCCGAACACGTACGTAGTTCCCCCCTTTGTGGGGGGGGGCTCTTAAAGACCCTTTGCGGCTGCGGGGCCCTCAACTCATCCCTCGCTTGGGGGCCCTGTTGCCACCGAGCGGGAGCCACGGAGAGCCTGCCCGACGGCGGGGGGCGCCGTGCGCAGGCACGGCCCTTGGGCTGGTGCTTGCCGGGAGCCCTTCGCCCTCCCTCTCAGCGCTCGGGTCCTGAGGCGGGGCGTCCCCCACAGTCCACAGTCGGGCCGAGGTACAAGGGCTCCCACGAGGGCGCGAAGTTGGTCGCGCTTCGCGCTTCGCGGGCCTCATTGCTCCTCCCCCTCCTCCTCGTCCTCCTCTTCTCCCCTTTGGGGGCGGCGCGAGAGCGCGAAGTTGTTCGCGCTTCGCGCAGCGCGAAGCGCGAAGTTAGGAGCCCTTGGAGGTACAAGGTCAAGGTCGGTTCGGGGAGGGTGCCCCAGTGTTCTTCGTGCTCGCTGGATGCTCGTGCGCATCCTGGGGAGGGTGGCCTGGGATGTTCTGTGTGCTTGGGCCCCACGGAGGGTCTCCATGTTCTCGAGGGGTGTTCTTCTGGCCCGGGCCCGACAACCCTACCCCAGGGCTTCAGTCAATGGGATCCCGCTGCGGAATTTAATCGTGAAGCTGCAGTGTTTTGTCCTTGCCGTGACTCCATCCTTCCTGGCCTCCTGTTTCTTGCTCCCTGCCATCATGCCCCTCATCTCCCTCGTTCGTCCGCTTCCTGCTCCCTGCCTCCTCCCTCCCCCTCCTCCCTCCCCTGCTCCTTCCGCCTCACTTTGGGCTCCGCTGGAACTTGCGGTCCGTGACCACGCCCCGCCGAACGTCGGCGCACGGCGGCGCGCTCGCGCGCACGATGGCCCTCCCGGCGCTGCCGAAGGTGGGGGGGCCCCTGGTGTGGGCGTACGTGGCGTTCGCGGGCGCGCTGCACGTCATCGAGCAGTATCTGGAGGTGCGGCAGTTGCGCAAGAACAGGGAGACCGATCCGCCGCACGAGTTGGTGCCCCTCAAGCTCGACGCGGCCAAGTTCAAGGAGTCCCAGGTGTACCAGACGGACAGGAGGCTTTTCGGGTTCATCAGTGATAACATTTCGTTTGCGTGGGATTTGTTGGACCTGTTCGTGATCGTCCCCTTCCTCTGGGAGGTGTCTGTCGGCTGGTTCGGCAAGGATGCCGAGTACAAGGTGACATTGTGCTGGCTGTTCCTTCAACAATGGGCGGACAAGCCTGTGGGCATCCCCATGTCGTTGTATTCGAATTTTGTCATTGAGGAGCGGCATGGCTTCAACAAGATGACAATCAAGCTGTATTTCCAAGATATGGTCAAGAGCGAGCTGTTGACATACTTTTTTGGCGCGCTGCTGGTCCCAGCGCTGATCTGGATAGTACGGTATTTCGGGGAGAATTTCTACATCTACCTCTGGCTGTTCTGCCAGGTCCTCATACTCGCAATGATGTTTATATACCCGAATCTGATCCAGCCCATGTTCAACAAGTTTGAGCCCCTGAAGGACGAGGATCTCAGGAAGAAAATCGAGGAGCTGGCTGCCGAGGTGAATTTCCCGCTCACCAACCTCTTCCAAATCGACGGCTCCAAGCGGTCGGGCCACAGTAACGCCTACTTCTTCGGTTTCTGGAAGTCCAAGCGCATCGTGCTTTACGACACGCTGCTGCACCTCAAGCACGATGAGATCCTTGCGATCCTGTGCCACGAGCTCGGCCACTGGAAGTTCGGCCACATGCTCTTCAATCTGGCCATATCCTCAACCAACATTTTTGTGCTTTTCTGGCTTTACGGGAAAGTCATGTACTCCAGCTTCTCTCGGCGGCGAGCGAGGGGGGGAAATGAGGAGGAGAAGGCCTTCTCAGAGGGCTTGGAAGTCCTCTTGCCTTCTGAGAAGTGTTCTACGCCTTCTCCAAATACGCAGAGAACTTCTCAGAAGGCGCGCGGGCATCTGAGAAGCCCCGCCGCCTTCCGAGGAGGCCTTCTTCTTCTCACTTCCCTCCCTCGCTCGCCGCCGATTCTCAAGAGATATCGTGCGGCAGTTTGGCTACGGCGATTCCGAGGCGGTCATGGTCTCGCTGATGATCTTCATGAGGCTGTACAGCCCCACCCAGCAGCTGCTGGGGATCGGCATGACAATGCTGAGCCGGACGTTCGAGTTCCAGGCTTCAGTCGGGCCTGTCCCTCTACAGGGGGAACATGAATAAAACAAATAGTCTGGATACGGTTGTTCACAATTGTCAACTATCTTTGATTGTGTCTGCTACATATGTATATATATATATATATATATATATATATATATATATATATTGGGTGGCACACATCCGCCTGGAGGAGGGAGGACATGCCCGACCTAATTCCAGGCAGACAGCTTCGCGCACGAGAAGGGCAGAGCGGCCGACCTGTGCAGCGGGCTGTTCCAGATCCACGAGGACAACAAGGGCGACCTGAACCCGGACCCGTGGTACGCGTGGTACCACTTCTCCCACCCGCCGCTCGTGGAGCGCCTGCGGGCGCTGAAGGCCCTCGAGGATAGGGGCAGCCGCGGCAAGAGGGAGGGGGATCCGGAGCTCGTTCGCCCACTCCTTGGGCGATGATCTGCTGCTGCTGCTGCTGCTGCTGCTGCTGCTGCTGCTGCTGCTGCTGCTGCTGCCGTCCGTGCAACGTTCGGGGAGCACAGAACGCGTAAACAGAAACTTTCGGATGCCCGCACGGATTTCTCGGATCGGCGCTGGAGCCCCCTGGCGGCGCGTCCGGTGCCGATCCAAGAAATCTGCGCCGACGCCAGAATTTTTATGTTTTTGCCGTGTTCTGCTCCTCGGGAACATGCTCCGGCGTGAGCCGTGCGTAGGCAGGTACGGGCCAAGTGCCTCGCCCACCGCACGTCGGGGCCTCAGTGCAGACGACCGGTAGACTTCCGACGGGGGCCTCGTCTTCATCGTATCAGTTGTCGCGCGTTGAGTCTGGCCGAGCGGCGCCGCGCCTGCCCACGCAGGATGCCTCTCGACAGCAGGCCAGGTGGTCGTGCGCTCCCTCTCCTCGCCCCTCATCTTCCTTCCTTCATCCTCCTCGACCTCATCCGATTCGCCATTCATTCATCATCACACTTTTCCTCCCTCCGTGGCGATCTGAGATCTTCTTTTGCAGCAAGCTGTATGTTCTGCATTCGCTCGCCTCACTTCTGCTCCATCCACCTCCTCCTCCTCCTCCTCCTCCTCATCGTCTCTGTCCTCCTCCTCCACCTCCTCCTCCTTCTCCGCCTCCCCCTGCTCCTCCTCTTCCTCCTCCTCCTCCTCCTTCTCCGCCTCCCCCGGCTCCTCTTCCTCCTCCTCCTCCTCCTCCTTCTCCTCCTTGCTTCTCCTCTTCTGTTCCCTCCTCTTGCTCCTCCTCCGCCCCTTCCCCAAGGACGACGGCCTCTAGCGGGGGCTCCAGGGAGAGCCGGGGTCGAAGGTCGAGGAGGATCGAATATCGAGGAGGATCGAGGATCGAGGATCCTCGAGCCGCGCCGGCCGCGGTTTGAGGATCCAAACATCGAGGATCGATGAGGTCCGAGGATCGAGGGGCTTCGAGGATCTTGGCTCGAGGAGGTCCGAGGATCGAGGAGGCTGGAGGATCGGGGACCGAGGAGGAGGAGGAGGGAGGAGGAGGAGGAGGAGGAGGAGGAGGAGGAGGAGGAGGAGGAGGAGGAGGATCGAGGATCGAAGAGGTTCGGGGAGCATCGAGGAGGAGGATCGAGCATACCGGGGCGGCGGAGGATCGGCGAGGCTCGAGGGGGGAGGGTTGAGTTTGGCACGCACGCCCCTCTACAGGAGGAATATTCCAAAGGAGCCAAAAAGCAGCCTGGGGACGATGTTTTCACGATTCTTGACTGGACTATTCGATTTGATTCTTCGTCCAACGTCCCCCTGTAGGAGGACATGCCCGACCTAAGGGGAGCGCCGAGGAGGATCGGGGAGCGCGCGTCCTCTCGGCCCGGCGGCCGCGGGGGGGGGCGCGGCGCGCGCCTGCGCGCGCCCCTCAGGCGCGCGGCGGCGGGCGGCCACGCCGCGTCGCCGGCGGCGATGCAGGACGCCTCCTCTCCACGCCGCCTCTCTCTCTCGGGGGGGGGGGTAGCTGTGCTCAGTTGGACTCCCCCTCCTCCTCATGCTCCTCCTCCTCCTCCTCCCCCTCTCTACGCTGGACTCCTCCTCCTCCTCCTCTTCCTCCTCCGCCTCCTCATCCGGGGGGGGGAGCTAGAAGTCGGGTGTGTCCCTCTACGGGAGGAGTATTCAGACATAGTCCAAAAATAGTCTGGGGACGGTTTTTCGGCTACTGTTTGACTATGTTTGAGCATGATTTGAATATTCTTTGATTATTCGACCAAAATCCGCCTGTAGGAGGACATTCCCGACCGAAGGGTAGCTGGGCTCATTTCGACCTCTCCGAGTCGATTGTGTTCGATCTCGACGGCTTCCCAGATGCCAGTTTGATGCTCTTTCGGATTCCGATTTTCGGATTCTGGTGGAGGCCTTGCAGCCTGCCGATTTCCGCCGATTCGACTTCTCCCGACTCGGCCGCCGGGAGAGTAGGAGGAGGGTCAGAGGAGGAGGAGGAGGAGGAGGAGGAGACAGAGGAACCGATACCGCTACCCTTCCCTTGTTTTTCCCATTCTGGGGCCTCCTAGGCGGCCCTCGTCGCCCTGACGGAATGCGCCTCGAAGTTCTGGTCAGAACGCACCCCAGGAGAGGTCCGGGGAGTAGCTGCACCGGTACTGCTCCCAGACCTCCAGCGTATCGAAGCAATCAAGGCAGAGTTCTTGTGTGCTGTTCTCGCCTTCTAGACGCCCTCGCTGCAGGCCCGGCGGCCGTCCCAAAACGGCTCGGGAGGAAAATCGGGTCCTACAGGGAACGGGTCGAGACCTCCAGGAGCAATACTCGGCCACACGCAGAGGGGGGCAGGGGGAGGGGGAAAGGCTTCTTAGAAAAAAGCTCCCCTGCTTCCTAGAAGGCGCGGGCCTTGTCTGTAGATGTAAGGACCAGCGCCTTTAAGAAGGAGCCTCCTTCTACGATGCCTTCCCCCCTCCCCCCACCCCCTTCTGCACGCCGCCAAGATATAACGGATCTTCCCAGACATGCGACGTCCTGACTTTTTCAGGACGGCGTCCCCGGAAGTCCAGACCCTTTCCCTGGAGCCGGTTTCTCATCCCGAGTGGTTTTTTGACGGTCCCGGGGACCAGCGAGGGCCCCCCCGGAGCCCAAAATAGCGAAAAGCCTCCCGTCCTGATTTGCTTACGACGCGATCACGCCTGGGTTTTGGGGGTGTCGGGGGAGAACAAAGTGTCGACCCGCAGACGCGAGGCGATCGGCCAGGGAAAGCCGGGGCACGAAGAGCCCGGGAGCGGAAGGGCGGCGATGCCCACGGAGCAGCCAGGGAGGCTCGAGCGCGGGAGCGCTGAGGACGCCGAGCCTAGGAAGCTAGCTCGGGCATGGCCAGGACCCCAGGTAATTTAGAGGATCCGGTTGGTGGTAGGGCCTCGGAGCCCCTAAACCGGCCAGGGTCACTAAACCAGGCCTGCCGTAGTTCGTGTTTTTTCGGGTGACGGCAGTTCCGGTTGGCGGAACGGGGCGGATGGGCGTCCCCCAGTACACATCATTAAACCAGGTCCCACTAAACCCAGTTCTGCCAACGCTCGATTTACGCTTGCGTAGGTCGGGCATGTCCCTCTACAGGAGGAGTATGCAGAAAATAGTCGAAATATCTTGTGAGGACGATATTTCGACTATGTTTGACTATTTTTCGATACTTCTTGATCTCGTCTGAATAATGTTTGGCTACTTCTCGTATTTTCCTTCCACAATCCGCCTGTAGGAGGACATGCCCGACCTAAGCTTACGTTGCATCTTCGGCGTCGGCGTCGGGGAGGCCTCGCGTGCCTCCAAAATTGGTGCCTTCTTTTGCGCCTGATGCGGGCTGGATGCAGATTCGACGCGGATTCCTCTAGGATTTTCGTCGCTGCTTCCGTGCTTCAGCGTGCGGGGGGCTTATCCTGACGCCTGGGGTCGTCACCACGCGACATATCGCGTTGTGACGACCCCTGAGACCAGCTACCCCTGCAGGGGGAGAGGCGGTCTGAGAGAAGGGTGGGGGGCACAGGATGTTTTTTTACCTAGACCCTCTTCCCTCGTGTCAAGAAGAGGGGGGAGGATTCGGAGGAGGAGACGGTGCGCAAACTGCTACCCTGCGCCCGTTTTCCCGTTTGGGGCCTTCTGGGTGGCCCTCGTCGCCACCTTTGTATTCGCCTCGACGTTCTGGTGGGAACGCACCCCGGGAGAGTTCTGGGGAGTATCGGTATCGGTACCTTTTGACTGCTCCAAAGATGATGAAGATCCGGGCTTCTGTCTTTCATGCCTTCTTTTTGGTGCGCGCCCACGTGGTCACGGCTGGATCCATCAAGGACCAGTGGGGAGGAGAACCAGGAGGGATGGAGGAGCACGAGGAGGAGAGATGGGGAATAGTAAGAAAAAGAGGCCGAGGGAAAGTGGAAGGACGAGGAGGAGAGGGGAGGAGGAAGAGGAGATGTTTTGGAGAGGAAGGGCGGGAGGAGGAGGAGAAGGAGGAGGAGACGCACAAGATGATTGTAATGGCATGGAACGTGGGGAGGACTCGAGGACGGGTGGGCGTAGGAAATCGAGGAGGAACGGGAAAAGGATCAGCATGAGGAGGAGTGGTGGTTGACGAGAGACGAGGAAGGAGATAATGGGTAGGAGAGCCATTGAGGAGGAGGGGGAGAGGCAGGGGAATTGGTGGAGGAGGAAAGATGAAGAAGAGCAGGAGGAGGATTAACATGATGATGATGATGATGATGATGATGATGCTGATGCTGATGCTGATGCTGATAATGATGATGATGGTGATGATGATGCTGATGATGGTGATGATGACGGTGATGATGACGAAGTTGGTGATGGTGATGGTGATGGTGATGGTGATGGTGATGGTGATGGTGATGGTGATGATTGGGAATGGTGATGTTGATGATGATGGTGATGACGATGATGATTATCATGACGATGCTGATGATGGTGATGATGATGATGGTGGTGGTGATGCTGAGTGTGTTGAAGATGTTGTTGTTGATGCTGATGGCGATGAC